TCGTTATAAAAAAAAGTTGATTATATACTAATAATTTTCCACGTAACAGTTGTCTTTCATAGCAGATGCACGTTGAAAAACTCAAATTCACATTATTTACAATTATGCCATTTAGTTTCATGAAAAGAAACCAATATCTCATAAAACATTTTTCAAAAAAAAAACTTTTTAATAACAAGCTTTTATGTAATAATGCACTAAAAAGGAGAAAATAAGTTATAGACTACTATTTAAATAACTATTAAGAAAAGTATGGGCCACTTTAGTATCTATTGGATACTCGCTTTACTAAAATTTAGGAGGAAGAGACCCACGCTTTTCTTTCTAGTTATTTAAATAGTAGTCTATAACATATTTTTTTTTCTCCTTTTTAGTGCATTATTACATAAAATGTGAGGACGCGCTATTGATCGTGATGGCGTTTGTGGAGTAGTTGGATAGAACTACCTACTAATTTGATCAAAATTTTAATTTATTCATAAACAATTAATTAGGCATCCAATTAAGTCAAATTGAATGTCATGATACATTGTCTTCATGTCTTGACCCACGTACCAACTACGAACCGTATCTGTTAGTTAGAAGTGTCTGAAATTTCGCTCGGACGATTCGATCTAGACGGACGACTGACGACAGACAGAGGAAGTGAGTTAAATAAAAGCTTGTAAAAAAAAGTTCAATAATTTTGTTTAATAACAATCTTTTATGTAATAATGCACAAAAATGTAGAAAATAAATTATACACTACTATTTAAATTAGTATAAAGAAAAGCGTGGGTTACTTTAGCACCTATTTGATACTTTTAGTAATATTTGAGAAGAGACCAACGCCCGCAATTTCGCTCGGTCATTTCGATCAAGACAGACTGACGAAAGACTGACGAGGAAGTGAGTTAGATAAAAGCTTGTAAAAACATGATTTTTTTTTTCAAAATATTTTACCTTTTCGTATACCGAGTATAGTGGGAGTTTTTTAATCGTGTAAAAATTGAAATGTTTTTAACAAAAATTATTTTTATTTTAACTTTCATTATTTAATAATAATAATAATAATAATAATAATAATAATAATAATAATAATAATAATAATAATAATAATAATAACAACAACAACAACAATAATAATAAAAATAATAATAATAATAATCATAGTAATAATAATAATAATAATAATAAAAACAAATTTATTTTAAACAATTACAATAGTATGCACAATGGCCTTTTACATAATGGCCGTTATTAAAGAAAACATATCTAGTACTTTCTTGAACCAGATTAATCAAAATTTCGGCATTTTACATGTGATCGATTCGGAAAAACTGGGACTTTGCAATTTTGTCCGTATGTCTGTTTGTGTGTATGTATGTATGTGTGTGTGTATGTTTGTGAACACAATAACTTGAGAACTAGGTTGATGAAATTTCATATATAAGTATTAAATCAAATTTGTAGTTCTGTCTCAACTTATCAGCAGTGTCCGATAAACGGAATAGGGACTTATTCTACTTTTTTTTCCTCAAAACTATTATTTAAAATATAAACAAGTACATTAACCTTTTTTTAAGTAGAGCTGAAATAATTTTGGGATTACAGAGAATTAAAATGATACAAATTTTAAGCAATCGGAAAAGTTATGTTATTACAATAAGACACATCAAAGCAAACATTCTTCCCTTTCAAACATCTATATCTATACAGTCCTCAAACAGTTTTTTTAATTAATTCAATTGTTTTAAACATTTAAATTACTAATAATAATTTATTTGATGGTTTTACACAGCATCAAAGACATGAACATCAATAGCATATCGATGGTCTCGGTCGCAAACCATTTAACTCCGAAAATGTTTATTTTACAGGAGAGACAAAAAACTAATAATTTCATTCTTGATCGCTCTAATACCGACTATAATATAGCGTTTTAAAATGAGTTTTGTTCATATTTACAAAATTATAGTATTATAGCAGGTTTTAAAAGATAGCCGGTTTGCTCGGTCTAAAACTCTCGGTGCAAACATTCTATCTGTGCGCGCGCAGACTTAGCTGTTTTGAACCGAGAATTTCGGTCTCAGCCGCGATCGTTCGTTTTGTCCAATGAACGTGATTTAGTTATGTTTATGTCTTTAAGTTATAATTAACACTTCTAATATTTAGATTATAGTTTTGGGCTCTTATTTTAATTATTTGAGTTTATTCTACTTTATTGGGTCAGTTGAATTTTAATAGATATGTTTTAGTAGTGCTTTATCGCTTTCGACTGTTTATTCATTATGGCTGTATTAAGCACTAGACTTGTTAACTGTTGATGGTTATGCTTTATGTATTTCATCTTTCTATTCTCACAGTTTACATTACTAAATCCGGAGGGAGCTAGGTTTGTAGAATGATAATAGTTAAAATATAAACCTTATTGTCAGATATATCATGAATGAGACATAACACATTAATCGCATTAATAATGACTTAATGTTTACTTATTTTACAAAAATGTAACCAAAAAATCTGTTTATTTTTAACATTATTCTTTGAATAAACGTCACATGAAGAAACATTAAAATGGCAACATATTTTTAAAATCAGGCAAATCATCATAAAAATGTGTGTTTATGAATTGCTTGTAAGTGCTCATATATGACAGCTTTTATCTTTTTTCTGCTCTTGTACAACTTTTCAGAGGCTACAGATGAGATCATAATCTTACGACCCTAGCTTAGAAATTGCCAGCTATCTACTAATGCACTTTGAAGTAGACAGTACCATCAGGGTTGTACTGCAGTGTACGAATATCTGTCGCATTGAATTCTTGATATGTCTGACGTCTTTTAAGAGCGGCTGATGTCTATTGTCTGGTATGTGAGGCTGGTCTATTGTATGTTACGACTGGTCTGTTGAGAAAGGCTGGTGTCTTGTAAGGTGAGACTGGTCTTTTTGAGAGAGTCTAGTGTCTATTGTCTGTTATGTGAAACTGGTCTATTGTATGTTACGACTGGTCTGTTGAGAAAGGCTGGTCTCTTGTATGGTAAGAATGGTCTGTTGAAAGAGGCTGGTGTCTTAGAGGATTAGACTAGTTTGTTGAGATATGCAGGTGTCTTGTATGGTAAGATTGGCCATTTAAGAGAGTTTGGTCTATTGTTTGTTAGGACTTGTCATTTGTGAAAGGCTGGTCTGTTGAGAGATGCTGATGTTTTTTATGGTAAGACTGGTCTGTTGAGAGAAGCACGTCTGTTGTGTGAGAGGACTGGTGTCTTGAGAGAGGCTGGTCTGTTGAGAGATTCTGATGTCTTGTAAGAGTGGTCTGTAGAGAGAGGCTGGTCTCTTGAGAGTGGATGGTCTGTTGAGAGATGCTGGTGTCTTGTATAGTAAGACTGGAGCGAGGCAGGTCAGTTGAGAGAAGCTGATATGTTGAGAGGCTGGTCTGTTGAGCGAGGCTGGCCTGTTGAGAGAGGCTTGTCTATTGAGAAAGGCTGATATGTTGAGAGGCTGGTCTGTTGAGAGAGGCTGGTCTGTTGAGAGAGGCTGGTCTGTTGAGAGAGGCTGGTCTGTTGAGAGAGGCTGGTCTGTTGAGAGAGGCTGGTCTGTTGAGAGAGGCTGGTCTGTTGAGAGAGGTTGATATGTTGAGAGGCTGGTCTGTTGAGAGAGGCTGGTCTGTTGAGAGATGCTGGTGTCTTGTATGGTAAGCAGGGGCGTAGCGAGGGGGGGGGGGGCGGGGGTGCCGAAGGCACCGGGTGACACCATTTAAGGGGGTGACACCAAGGCAAAATAGCAAAATATATAGAGAAAAAGTTGAGGGGGGGATGCAAATCGAACGTTTGAGGGGGGGGGTGCAAATCGACAGTTTGATGGCAAGGGGTGCAAATCGAAAACTTGAAAGTTTGTCCCCGGGAAGTGTCGCTACGCTTCTGGGGGGTGACACCATTAAGTGCCGCACCGGGTGACACCCGACCTCACTACGCCACTGATGGTAAGACTGGTCTGTTGAGAGAATCTGGTGTGTTGAGAGAGGCTTGTCTTTTGAAAAATTAATGATAAAAGCATTTACTAAAGACAACTAACCATGTCGTTGATCATTTTCGCCAAACATTTTGTAACCTACCATAAAAAACATTTCTTGACAGGTAGATAAACCCTCAAGGTAAAGCTAGTAGTGAATTAAAAATTTAATTTATTGCACATCTTGTGGAAATATAATTTGAATAATATTTTATGATTGATATTTAATTTCTAGAATAAAGATCTAGTTTAAAAGCATTGTGTTAGCCTAAAAAATTGTAAACAAATCAGTTTGGTTATTAAAAATCTGGAAATAGGCTATATTAAACAAATACTAGTTGTTTATTATTCTTTAAAATGATAAAATGTAATAGAGTAGCTGAAAATAATTACTCAAATATCCTTACATATAAATACTGAGACTGCTGTGGTGTAAAATTGTGTGACTGCGTTTCCGATAAAAGTGTACTGACAAATATAACAATATTCGTTTTGCGCCGAGATTTTTAGCGCTTGAAATAATAGGCGATTTGTTCAAATGTATCTCGATAATCATTCTACAAATTTCTATAATATTTTCAGGCATTATGGAGAATCATACTAGCTTTTGATTTATGTAAAAAAAGAAAACGATTTTTTTTAGTTAGACGGTTTGCGACCGAGACCATCGATATATAATAATCAAAGGGAGAAAATAAAATGGTATAAGAACTAGACTAAAATAAGGTGTGCGAACTCGGTTTCTATTGTTATAATTAAGCTTCTTTTTTCCCGCCTAATACATGTAATTTATAGCGTCAGTTGTGTGTTCGCTTTAGTATTACAGTTTTCATCATCGGCTTGTGAGGACTGATACAGATTTACAATAGTAATATTTCTTTCTTACTAGTAGCCTACTTCCCCAAATTTCACATATAAGTAAAATATCTAATTCTCTGCAACTGTCAAATTTGGAGTAATTTCTGTTTAAAGGAAGTAGTACTTTACGCTTTTTCTGATTTTTCAAAAAAAAAAAAAGTATTTATAAAGTACTAAGATTCCGCACTATTGTACACATATTGTTATCGTACCGTACCGTACCACACCGTACAATACCGTTCCTTACCGTACAATATTTACTGAATATTACAGCTATTTTCGTTTTTAGTTCTCTCCCTTTCAGTTTGCAAAGCTTCTATAAACTGTATTTGCTGAGTTTGACGCTCTAGGTTTAATCGTTCATTTCTTAACTCCTCCATCTGTCTACGCAACTCATATTCCTGTTTTCTTTCTTCTGTTTCTTTAATGTGTCTCCGTTCAGCAGCTTCCTTCATTAATTCATTTAACATTCTAATCTCCGCCCTCGTTTTCGCCTCTCTTTCTTCACTTAGCCGTATTTCGTTTGCCCTCATCTCTTGCTCTTTAAGTTTCATTTCTTGAATTCGTAGGTCATTTTCCATTTGATCTTTTCGTTGTTGACATTTTATTTTTTCAATAAGTATTTCGTTTTGTTTTTTCATTTCATCTTTAATTTTTTCAATTTCTAAAAGTTGTTTTTTTTCTGCAGCTTCGATTTCTCTTTGTTTTAGCAGTAATTCTTTAATATGAGCCTCGTGATCTCTTTTAGCCTTTTCTTCCATCATTTGAAATTTTCTTTCTTCTTCCCTTTGCAGCTTCAAATATTCATTTTTTTGCGCTTCCCTTTCAATTCTGTGTCGTTCTTCGGCTGCATTCATTTCCTTTTGTTTGAGTTCCAGCTCCAACTTTTTTTCTTCCTGCTCCTTTTTTGCAGCATCTTTCAATAACTGAAGTTTTTGTTGGTCAAAATCTTTTTGCCTTAATAGGTCCTGTTTTTCAAGCTCTATCTTTGCCAAAAACTTCTGTCTTTCTGACTCTATCGCGTTTTTCTGCAGTTCTATTTCTTTTATAATACTTTCTTGTTTTTGCTCTGATTCAAGCTGTAATTGTTTGAATTTTAATTCATCAATTTCTTTTTGTCGTTTTAAGTCTTTTTCATATTTTTCCTTATCATCCTTGCGAAGTTTTTCAAATTCTTCCATCGACTTTTTATTTAATTCAATCTGCAGAAGAAGTTGGTGGTGTTCTCTCTTCGACTTCTCCTCTTGCATTTCCATAAACTCCTTATCTTTTTGCATCTGTTGTTCCAAGCGATTTTGTTCTTTTTTACTTTTTTCTCGTTCCTGGATCAACAGTTTACAGGTATTGATTTGCTCTTCTAATGTTCTGCTTACATTACGAACAGTTTCTAATAAATTTCTAAGAGCTCCACTTTCTTTATCTTCCTCTTCTAATTCAGTCAACAGAGCTATAGATTGTGCTTGCAGTTTTTCGAGTTCTTCAATTTTGTTTTCCGGATCCTGGAAATTCATTTGATTGTAACTGGACATAATAACTCCAGTTTCTCTAAATATTTTATCTTTCAATGCAGGTATCTTACATTCTATCAGCAGTTTATCACGAGTTTCCTTTGCAACATCAAAATATTTGTTGGTATATCTCTTACCACTTGACTGTAGTCTGTCTATCAGGTTGATTAAGTCACTTTTTTGTTTGTGTATTTTCTCTACTTCTTCTGCAAAATTATCAAACAATACCACTCTACCCTCACATTCCTCTAAGAGTTTTTGAAATGCACCCTGTTGTTGAGTGCACCATTTTTCAAAAGTCAAACCTGTCTTTTTTGTCACCTGCTTTTCAAAGTTATCACCGCATGTTAACACAAGGATAACAAATTTATTCACAAAGTCATTTCCAAATATTTGTTTTAGAATTTGAATTGCAGTCACATCTTCTTCCGTAAATCTTTCTCCAAATTTTAGTACGTAAATTAATGTATGATAGCCCACTGGGTTGAGATTAACGGCGTCCTGCATTTTTTCTGAAACCATTTTTAACGCATCTTCTTCGCTCATCCTTGTGTCACACACACCTGGTGTATCTACAACTTTCAATATACGACCTTCAAACACACCATATCCATCTTTAATTACATCTGTTACAGATTCGAAATTCGCTGATGACAGAAAAGCTTCGCTAGACAGAAGACTGTTTCCTAAAGCACTTTTGCCTTTGCCAGTTTTGCCGATCAACAGGATGTCGATGTCGTTTGAAATCTAAGAAAATTATAACAGTGATATCAACAACATTTTAATGCCGCACAGCAAACACATACGGAAACATACTGGCAGACAGACAAAAAGACGAATAGATAACCATAATTTAAAAAGCCAGGTAAACAGACAGAAAAGGAGACATAAAAAGATAGATAATCAGGAAAGCAGGAAGAAATATGGACATTCAGACAGACGTATCCTCTGACAAAAACACATAACGTGGATCATAAACATAAACATAATTTTGCCACAATTAAAATATGTGTTAAATGAAAATGTTTAACAAAAATTATGTGAAATCGCTAATAAATAACTATGTTTTTTTTTAATCTGGCTCTCGCTGTTTTTGCTCTATTGAACTAGTGACAAAACATACATATTGAAGGTTAATTTATATGAAAATATATACTTTGGGAATTTTTGCTTTTGAAACTACAGATTAATAATTTATTTTACTATTGATTTTTTATTATTTACTTTACACAGTGTTAAAATATACTTTGCTTTAGTATGATCATAATAAGTGTAATAAACATACGCTTGTATAAGGTTAGTAATGTAGGAGTGATTATTCTTTCTTGAACAAATTGTTAAACACAGTTTGTAAGTCCTCTCTACTTATGTTTAATACTTTTTCCCTGTAAGCTAATCTGTTTTTTTTCTTTTGTTTCAAGCCTGCACTTTTATTTTTTCATTTTTATTACAAGTTTTTATTTAACTCACTTTCTCTGTCGTCAGTCGTCAGTCTGTCGTCTGTCTGTCTGTATCGAAACGGCCTAGCGACTTTGCAGGCACTTCTAACTGACAGATACGGTTCGTAATTGGTACGAGGGTCAAGACATGAAGACAATGCATCATGACATTCAATTTGACTTAATTTGATGCCTGATTATTTTTTTATAAATTAATTAAAATTTTGACCAAATTAGTAGGCAGTCCTATCCAACTACCCCACACGCGTCATCACGTTCAATAGCGCGTCATCACGTTTCTTTATAGTTATTTAAATAGTAGTCTATAATTTATTTTCTCCTTTTTAGTGCATTATTACATAAACTCTTGTTATTAAAATGTTTTTTATGAAAAACAATTTCTCTTTTTCTAATGCTTTTGTCTTCAATTTCCTATTGTAATAATTCCTCTGTCTTTGTAATGCTAGCTCTTTCTGATGCGTTTATCTTTTAATGCTTGTTATTGTTTAGCCCGAATTTTAAATTCGTTTTGTTTGTCTTTTCTTTGTGTTCTTTTAAACGTAATTCGTTTACTTCTGTTTGTCTGTTTAGTTCTTCTCTCTGCCCTTCTCTTTCAATTTCCTTTTGTTTCTCAGCTTTTTTCCATTTTCCTTAACCTTAGCTCCTCCATTTTTTGCTCATGTTCAAGTTTTTTGTTTCTCCTCGAAGGTTTTGAAATGTAGTTCATCATTCTCTTTCTGCCTCAAAAACTAATGTTTTTATTTTTATTTTTGACTCTCTTGATACAATTCAAGTACTTTGTGTTTAATACGAACTGTTTTGTATTTGCTTCTAGTTCAATTATTGCACTCTTGTAAAATCTTAATTTTTCTTTATCAAAGTCCTTTTCTTTAACATCTTTTGTCTTTGTCATTTAAATCAAGCTCTGAAGTTTTCTTTCTACAATTTCTTGACTTCGTAACTCAAACTCAATGCTTCTTGCTTCTGTTTAGTTTCCATCTCCAAGAGCTTGAGGTTTGATCTTAAACTTCTTTTTGTCGTAAAAGTTCGCTTTGTAGTTCTTCCAACTGTGCAAAAGAATCGTTGTTTTTTTTTCAGTTTCTTCTATTTTTATTCAACTTAGTTCAATCTCTTTCAAATGAGCTTTAATCTCTCTTTTTTCCCTCCTCCAAGGTTTTAACTGCAGTTCGTTATGTTCTAATTGTTGTATTATATGTGCTCTATCCTTTTCTTGCTTTGCTTTTTCTTTTACAAGAAGCTCACACGTATTTAGTTCTGCACTAACTGTTTTGATAATATTTGTAATTGTCGTAATTAAGTTAGCAATGGAACCGCTTCCTTTATCTTCGCAGGTTATATTACTTATCAACTGTTCTGATTTTTTCTTCATTTCTTGTAGAATAGGTATTTTAGCTATAGTTACTCGAAATTCATTTGGTTATAATAAGACACTATGATTCCTATTTCTTTCAACATCTCCTTTAAAACTTGGATCTTTAATTAATCCTACCAACATCTTTTCACGAGAAGACTTTGCCATATCAAAATGTTTATCCGTGTAGCGCTTTCCGCTAAACTGTAGCTGATCGATCATCGTAAAGAGCTAATTGTTTTGTTTTCTATTTTAATTTTGTTTTTTGTCCTGTTATCAAATAAAACAGTTCTTCCATTACATTCTTCTAACATCTCATGAAAAACTCCATCTTGTTGCTTGCATGATTCTCTAGAACCTATCTCTTGCTCTTCTGTTATCTGCTTGTCAAAGTTGTCACCACAAGTCATAACAAGAATGCATAACATTTTGATAAATTCTTCTCCAAACATTTGTTTAAGTATTCTTATAACATTACTTTCCTCATCAGTAAATCTGTCTCCATAGTTAAGTACAACAGTTGCAGCATGGTAACCGTCAGGGTTCTTCTTCCACCCATCGTGCTATCTGTATTAAACTGTATGCTGCATCAGATCGTGTGTCGCAAACACGAGGAGCAGCTACGACCTTTATTTTACGACCATAAGCTGATTTAATTCCGCTAGTGACTGATGACGTAGCCTGTGATGCTAAGAATGCTTTTCATGACAAACATGTTTGCAAGAGTGCTTTTCTTTTTACTGGTCTTTCCTACTAGTAGAATGTCAATGTCTTTTGAAACCTACTTGTACATATTTTAAACATTTTTACACCACTGAATTAAATTTTAATTATAACCACTCCATGTAAGTGTACGCAATAAAGAGTAAACACAACTTAATTACGTTGTATAAGGCCCTAATCTATATATATAATTCTCTTCTTGGAGACGTTAGAAAACACCAAGCTGTAAGCGCGCCTAATAGTCCCCTCTCTTCCTCTCAAGGCATATCGCAACCACCCCCACCCCCACATGGTCTGGTGAGCTGTGGTTCACGATAAATCGTAGAGTCGGGTTTAGTGACGCCTATTAGGGGCAGATAATTTACTTTGAAACTATTTTAAACTTAGGGGAGGTAACTAAGAGGAGGCTGCTTTCACGGGGGGGGGGGGGAAGGAGGGTTTTAGTGTTTTAAAGCAAATATTTTCAGTGACAGCATTGGCACTGTCGAATTCACAAATTATGAATTACTGAAAAGTAGAAAATAAAACTAAATAGCGGCGTGTGATACGCCGCAGGTCGGCTCGTTATACATTTTGTTTTTAGTTTTTTGCTTTTAATTACATTTTTAAAAAAATATTTTAATTTTTAACAAGAATCATTTACTCATGTATAATAATCAGTGTTAATGTATATGTAATGTAATGTATATACATTTACTAACCTCTTTAGTGATATTTAACGTTTTGATCATGTCTTGATCTTTTAAATCATCGGGCCCCAATAATTCAGTTGTTTTTTTTATTGAGCTTTCTGAGCATGCTACATCACCACCAACTGATGGTTTATATTTATATAAACCTTTATCCTTTCCTGTTTCCTCGATTATATCAGTCATTTTTGTTTCTTCAGAACTTGTGTCTGCGTCAAGTTTCTGGAGTAGAACATTGGTTAATTATTTAGTAATATGCATGTACAATTTCAATGTTAAAATAAGACAATTCAGTGTGTAACAATGTGTAATATTTCTAATGATCATTTATTACATAAATAGTAGTAAATACATTAAAACAGAAGTTGAAGCTTAATTTAAAGACTCGTTACATTTTTGAAAAATGCTAGATATTAATGTTGCTGTTGGCTATGATTTTTTGTCTAAAAGTGTTATTTTGATATCTAAATAACAGTTGTTTTACGAGGTATTAATATTTTTGAAAAACACAAAGATGCCTAATATGTGCGTTGCTAAGAATTCACATTGATTAACACATGTATTGTTTGCTTCAGCAAAGTAACTAACTCTTAGAGATAATAAATTTCCTTCAGATTTATCTGCTAAGACATTTTGAAAACTCTGATTTTCTCCCTTTCCTCTTTGTGGTAGTAATTCTAGCATGGAGTCTGTTTCACACTCAATCAAATCTTGAATTGCAGCATTAGAAATACTTTCATCTTCACATTTCGCTTTTCCTTTCTCCGTCTGTTCTTTTAAATTTTTTAATTTTTCTGAACAAATGTTATCATATGTGTGTTCTTTTGAATCATCTTCCATCGAAGTAGGAAGTTCTTTATTAATACCACTTTCTAGTTTACCACCGTCCGCCATTTCACATGTGTATCTGTTAAAAGAAAGAATATATATATATATATATATATATATATATATATATATATATATATATATATATATATATATATATATATATATATATTGGCCTATGTAATGTGTCTATACTTTTACTAAACTGTTACTAAACATAGTGATCATTTTTATTTTGATAACTTTATCTGCACCATCCTTACAATGAACATTATTGAACTACAAAATTTATTTAATCAGTAATTAAATTATTAAAATTAATGTTTGGAAGCTGAAGATAGTCAAGCGCTTTAAAACCGGTTATATCTAAGACTGTATATTGTGTTTTTTTGCTGTTTGATGTCTCATGATATTCTTTGTGATAAATACGGTTTAATAACTAAATTAGGAAATAGTTAAAAACCTATCAGTAAAGGACCATGACTTGTATGTTTAGTAAGCAGCATACGCCCAGCATTGCCCGGGTTCAGGAAACATATTACTTTTGGCATTAACCCTAACCACAACGAACCAAATCCAAAGTACAGACACAAAAGGAAACGCAAACATAAAACAAAATGCAAACATAAAACCCAACGAAAACACAAAAACAAACTCAAACTCAAACTCAAACGAAACACACAAACGAACACTAACACAAACCCAAACCCAAACGCAAACACAAATGCAAAAACAAATGTAAACACAACAAAAATATAAACACCAACGCAATTACAAAAGCAAACAGAAACGCAAACACTTACACAGAAACAAAAGCAAAAACTAAACGTAAACCTAAACGCAAAATAATAATGCAGAGCAGAAACGCAATCTTAAATTCAAATTTAAGCGCATACATCTCACATTCTAGCCCGGGGCTCAAAAATCGCACCCTGCTGGGTGCCGGCGGAACGGACAGATTCAACTTCAACCTTACTTATCCATAGTATATTACACTCATTTAAAAGAACGTAGGCGCCAAAGCGCTTACATTAAAGGCCCGGGCGCCAGACAGCAATCTGTATGGGCGCAAGTGGACGCCTTGGGTTAGGGTTAGGGTTAGGGTTAGGGTTATAAATTAAACGCAAACACAAAAGCTAACACACATGCAAACACAAATGCAGACACAACCATAAACACAAAAGAAAATAAAAACACAATGGCAAACACAAATACAAACACAAATATGCAAACGAAAACGAAAATACAAACCTATACGCAAACCTATATTATAGTAAACGAGTATAATACCCCATCTTATCTATAGTCCATTGCACTGTTTAAAACTAACGCATATGCCATAGTTTCATGGGATGACCCGCGGCGGCTAATATCACCCCGTTGGAACGTCGGAGGGCGCCCTGGACTAGATTTTAGTGAACGACTATTATACATGATATTTTCCAAAAACGGAAAGATGGAAGTAAACATAGAGCACGTTTAGTAAAGGCTTCTAAACTGTTATTTTTAGAAAATAATAATTGGTTAATTCAGTGTAGAAATTAAAAAAGGCAGTATTTAAAGTACCACTGTTTTACATATTACAGTGCACTTTATCAATCCATGCTAATTATGTACTTGTTTTTTTACCATGAAAACAAAGTAATAAAGAGTATTGTTTCCCAGTGTAATGTTGTTTTTTTTAATCAACCAAAAAAAGTAATTGATATTAAAGGAGTTAGGGAAGTAATTTGAACAATTTTTTCAAACAAAATTAGAATTTATTATACATTTATTTAGATGCTATTCTTTGCACGTTACGTCAATTAAAATGAGAAGTTTGGAAAATTAAACTTTTTTACAAAACTTTCATTACACCAAGGCGATTAAGTCGAGTTTTTTTTTTACAAGCTTTTATTTAACTTACTGTCTATGTCTGTCTGTCTGTCTAAATCGAAACGTCCGAGCAAATTTCGGGCACTTCTAAATGAAACATTTGTTTTAATGTTGGCACGTGGAACAAGACATGACGACAATGCAATGTGACATTAAATTTGAGTTAATGGGATTTTAATTAATTTTTTTTAATTAATTAAAATCGTGTTCAAACTAGTAGGCTATCTTATCCAACTATTGCGCACTATTATACGGAATGATGTTCATTAGGTAGGCCTACATGTAACAGACTGTACTTGGGTATAGTTTATCTATATTATATTTAGCTTGAACTTGTATAAAAATAGAATAGCTGGCCAACTGAAGGACTCTGTGAGCGACTAATCGTTTTTTCCCATGCTTTTTGTTATATCTCTCACTGATGTTAGGGGACAGATTGAAGTATATAAAAGGGGAGTGTAAGGTGGGCAGTGAGCGTGCCTGTATAGAAGAATGTAACCGTCACCATGACACTCTGTTCGTGGATTGTTCTTGGATTATTATTATTATTATTATTATTATTATTATTATCCCATATTATCCCAAAGGTCTCAAATTTTTATAATTTTTTGATATGGTTTAGCTTTTGGGCACTGAATGAAGGAATGACTATGGATTTTTTTTTTAAATCAATACTTTTTTAAATATCTTTTTTTTTTAAAAACGTCCATAAATGGGACGCTAGCAACGAACGGCCCCATGTACATTTATTGAAAAATAAAATACTTAAAAAAAACTTTTTAAAAAACCACGTTTTTCTTGTGGACTAAAAAGTAGAAAATAAATTTTTCTTCCGACCCTAGGGGATCTACGAATGACTGCTCGTAGATTGTGTGCTTCCTCGAGCTGTGCAGGTTCTTGTGATGACTGTTCATACAATATTTGATAACAAAAAACGTGGGCACGTTCACCATCAAATTTCCAAAATTCGTGTGTTGTGTGCTTTTCGCTTTAATCATAAATCTGCCCGACCTACCTTTTTTTGTCATCTAATGTATGAACAGTCATCACAAGAACCTGCACAGCTCGAGGAAGCACAAAGTCTACGAGCAGTCATTGGTAGATCCCCTTTTTAGTCCACAAGAAAAACGTGTTTTTTTTAAAAGTGTAATTAGATATCGATAATATAGATATATAATAAAGTAATACGTTCATCAAAAAGAGTACTGTTTAGTGAATATTATGAATTCACAATAACAATGATATGAACAACATATACGTATTGTTACAGTGAGCAACTGTTTTTAGTGATGCACCTCTATTTAATTAAAAAAGGTAAAGTTATTTAAGTTGTTTACATTAAAGTTATTTAAAGTTATTTAAATAGTAGTGCATGATTTATTGTCTAATTTTTAGTGCATTATTACATAAAAGCTTGTTATTAAAACATTTTAAATTATTTTTTTTTTACTTTGTGCGTGTTTCCACTATCACATAGAAAGAAACAAAGTCCATTTCACCGTGCAATTAGCAAGACAAACATAGGGCAATAACATATAGACTCATTTATAATACAACACTAATACAATTAAATTAGAAACTCCTGTCCACTATGCAGACAAAATACAAAACACACATCTTTCTTCAATGCCCTACCATCCAGACTATAAAAAAGACCCTCAAGTGACGAATACGCCATAAATAGTACACCACAATAGTTAGGATACGCTTTGCTGAGTACGATGCCAATATGTTCATTCCAAACCCCACAATAATCTGCAAATGCCTAACCTGAATACAACCTTAAGATTACTATCTTTGCAATGTTTGCAATGTCTTGTGTTGTAATACTATCTTATACTAGCCGTCGGTACCCGTTACACGTGAATTAAGGGTCTTAGGTGCTTTGACCGCAGGTGCCTTGACCATAGGGGGTTTGACCATAGGGGCTTTGCCCACAGCGGGGCTTTGACCACAGATGGGCTTTGACCACAAAAGGGGGTTAACCATAATATATATATTTTAAAATAGAAATCAAAAACTGTTATTTGATTTAAATTTATGATACAATTCATAAGATTGTATACATTTTTCCCGAGAGTCCATTAATTGAAATCAACATATAGGCTACTCAAAGAATCAATAACGATATTTTAGTCTCCACATAAAGGTTGGTGCTAGGCCTCATAGATTTAGTGTAAATATAAATTGAACACGAATAATGAGACATGAAATGTTTCACAAATAATTTAGATGTACCTGAAAATACATAGCATACATTAAGGATAAAAAGCATGCCAACAGCATAGTCAAAGAAGTAATACGTGTATGGTTAACTAAATGACAGATGTGCTGTAACACGCAAATATGTTACTACATCTGTTTGACCATATGTCAATACATCTGTTTGACTTTATGTCAGAACACCTGTTTGACTATATGTCAGTATATCTGTTTGACCATATGTCAGAACCAGTGTTTCTTCCAGACTTTTTTCTCCGGGGGGGGGGGGGCACTTGAAATTTTCGGGGGGGGGGGGGCGGTAAACTTTCTTCGGGGGGGGGGCGGACACTGTTAAAAGTATATATTTTCTATATAAATTATATAAATTTCATTTCGTTCGGGGGGGCGGTAAAATGTTTTCGGGGGGGCGAAGCCCCCCCCCCCCGAAGAGATGCCTGGAAGAAACTCTGGTCAGAACATCTGTTTGACCATATGTCTGAACAGCACGTTGTAATTTTTCGTGCAGCATTCTATATAGCTTCTCAGCTGGGTAGTATTATTAAACGCACACACTGATTTAGAGACTTAAATAATTCCATTAAAAACCCTGCAGTTCATTGATATTTATGTTGTTTTTTTTTAATAAATTGTGTTACTTTTAGCCGAGAAAATTGTATACATTTCATAGCGTACAGAACTTAAGTAGATCTATAGTTCTAAATCAAATTTGAAAACAATAGTTCGTTTCTTTTATATTTAAAAGTTGGAAGATACGCCATTAGTTTAAAAATGTGGCTTGTGACGTATTTGTTTATTGCAATATTGTCACGACAATAAACACTTTTCCGGCTGCATAGGTATAAATGTGTTTTTACATTCAAATATTTCTTTTTAAAATTATTATTTTCCTTCTTTAAATAAAATTTAGTTAACACATTTAAAACATCCAACATATTATTTTCAGCAGTTGTCCGTATCTTTAAGTTCTCCATATATCACTGAACATACTGATCACAGAGCCTAATAAACCGGGAGTGATCTCCCCTAGACTTTCTCGAATATTCTTATATAACTTGGAATATGGACATGATTTTTAATTACTTAAACTTTTTAAAATAGAATAGAATCTCTTAGAAAAAATAATTGCGCACCAAGCGAACGCCAAATCAAAATGTGCATAATAGTGCGCAATAGTATTAGTACTATATGAATTTACATGCGTTTTTTGAGAAATCGGAAATAGCTTAAATTAGTACTTTCGGTCAACGGAAATTACTCACAATTTGACAGAAGGTAGAGAATTAGATTTTTTACTTACATGTGAAATTTCATTTATCTATCCTAAATAGTACTCAAGTTATAGGCTTTTGAAAAATTCAAAGTAAAAAAAAAGTACCACTTCCGGTTATCGGAAATCGCTCAAAAGTTGATACGGATCTACAATTTTGATAAAATACTTATATATGAAATTTCATCAACCTAGCTGTAACAGTACTCAAGTTATCGTGTTTACACATAGACAGACAGACACACATCCACACACAGACAGACACACAGACATACGGACAAGATTGCAAATTATGTTTTTCCGTATCAGTGCACGATTACAAGACTTTCTCTATACTTCGTATAAACGAGAAAGTAAAAATGCTACGGGCTGAGAGAGAGAGAGAGAGAGAGAGAGAGAGAGAGAGAAGTGCGAACATGGGCTTTTATATATTAGGATTCTTATGATAATGTATTACCGATAAAAATAAAGATGATTGTTTATAGGAAAAAAACCATAACCCTCTCCTACCCCCTCCACTTAAATGTTTTTGCCCCCATGACCCCTCCTCTCGCTCGTTTTTGAAGTTTTTCAATAGCACGTGCTTACCTCCCTACCTCCTTGAAAACATATTGTATATAAAATGTTAAAAATGGTCTAAACAGCACATTTTTTATATGTATACTAGCCGTCTGGCCATGCCCTACACTGGCCTGTGTGAAAAATCTTTCTATAAAGGACCATAACTTCAGTGTTTAGTAATCAGCACATACACGGCATTGCCCTGGTTTAGGAGATGTATAACTTTCGAATTAACCCTAACCAAAACCAACCAAACACAAAACACAAATAAACGCAAACATAACACAAACACAAACGCAACCACAAACTCAAACACAAACTCAAACAAGAAAAATGAAAACAAACACAAATCCAAACGCAAATACAAAGAAAATCCAAACGTAAACAAAAAAAAAATACAAATAGAAACAATAACGCAAACTTAAACGAAAACAGTAGCTAATGCAAAAAAACGCAAACATAAACATAAACTTAAATGCAAAAAAATCATAAAAAAACGTTTTAATAACAAGCTTTTATGTAATAATGCACTAAAAATAAATTATAGACTACTATTTAAATAACTATAAAGAAAAGCGTGGGTCACTTTAGTATCTATTGGATACCTTTACTAATGTTAAGGAAGACACCCACGCTTTTCTTTATAGTTATTTAAATAGTAGTCTATAATTTATTTTCTACTTTTTAGTGCATTATTACATAAAAGCTTGTTATTAAAACGTTTTTTTTATGAATTTTTTTTTCAGTACTTTACATGTTTTATTTACAATAGAATGACTAAAAACCATTGCGCGCCTACTGAACGTGATGGCGCAGCCATTGAACGTGATGGCGCAGCTATTGAACGTGATGACGCGTGTGGTGTGGTTGGATAAACATGCCTACTAATTCGATCCAAATTTTAATTAATTCATTAAAAAAATAATTAGGCATCCAATTAAGACAAATTTAATTTCAGATTGCATTGTCTTCATGTCTTGACCCAAGTGTCTAATGTGAATCGTATCGGTCAAGTAGAACTGTCCGAATTTTCACTCCAGCGTTTCGATCTAGACAGACAGAGGAAGTGAGTTAAATAAAAGCTTGTAATAATCGCAAAGTGCTCACTGTCTAGCCCGGGATCCAAATATTACCATACTGGGGGTCCGGCGGAACCGCCTTATTCAACTTAGTAAATGACTATATTACCCAAACTTATGCACAGTCTTTTGTACTTACTTAAATTAACGTAGGCGCCATAGCTATCACGAGAAGACCCGTGGCGCCTAATAACACCCTGTCGGCCGCCAAAGTCGCCCGAATTCGATTCAGTTGAAGACTATAGTAACCTTTCTAAATGAACGATTATAATACACCAAGCTTATCCGCAAACGGAAAGATAGAATTAAACATAGAGGACATATTGGAGCTGGCTTCTAAACTGTTTGACGCAATAAATAAAATAGTCACCCTCACCATTATAGCACAATTTAAAAAAGATAGAACAGAAGATGACAACAGACCGACAGCCACATCTATCTTCACACTATTTAGACTACATGAAATAAGATCAAGTTTGACCGTAATAAATTTTACCGTCATAGACATTGACACCAACCACCAACCCATGCTATGAAAAGACTAGTGACAGACGGCACCATCTGACAGTAAACATAAGATTATAGCCTCATTGCTATAATCAAAAGACGCTGACTGGAATAAAACAGAGGCCTACAAGGAGTAAATTGAACATTAAAACAGGCTAGTATTAAATATAGCGACATGTGACAGTAGCATTGTAGTGACCATTGACAACTTCCCCACTAACCGAGAGCTTACACTACGATCTCTCATTTATAGTAAAATACCCCTCCCCCTTCATATTTTAAAAATAGTTTTAAAGAAGGCAGATTACAAGAAGTCTAATTGGTCAACGGATCACTACTACTACTGCACGTTTCAAACACGATAAAGCTAATGATTGCATGACTAGTGAAGGGGAACCGCTCTATTGGCGACAAATCTATCAAACATTGCGAAAATTTGTAAACATGTCAATAAAGGAAACGATTTCTAATCAATTGAAAGCTAACTGCTACGCACCTTACCTTTATACCCAACTTTTTCTTTTCCCCATAAAAAAGCTAAGAAACACAGTAGGGCGACAAACCAACACACCAGACCAGGAGAAAACCGAACTAATGCTTGGGCAAAGACAATTAGAGGACATTGCCATACGGACCTAACGGTGAGTGACAATGAATGACTTGCATCATTAACCTACAGATGGCCCGACGTTGTAGACTAGAAGACTGGTTTAAGGGAACAACAACAAAAACATTTTCAAAATACTAGAGTAGGTAACTTCCGCTTTTCCTCGGGAAACATATAACACAGTATACGCATGAATACACTAGGCATTATAGTTTAATAAGCGACACAGCCTCTTTCCCTTGTATTTCAAAAAAATCTCTTTTCTACACCTAATTACAAGATATAGGTCCTACTGGAAAACATCCTCTTTAATTGCCCTATTATGATCAATACTCGATACACCCTGATAGTAAAAAACAAAAATATAGAAATTGACTTTATTTTGTTAACAATGTGCAAACATTTTTGTATATTCTTTACATAAAAATATTAGACTCTAGTATAGATTGAAAACATCTAGCATTGAAATACCTCGTTCTATAGATAAAGCAAAAAACATTTTTATGACTATTGATTAATACTTGTGGGAGTAGTTCTAGTTTATCGTAATAATCTTAAGTTTTAAAATTGTAACAAATTCACAAAAAGCAGTATGTTTTGGTATTTCTTTCTTTATAATTACTTTTATTTGAATGCTTTGATGGACCAATTATTTTTTTCCATTTGGTTCTTGTAATGAAAATTGTGTAAATATTTGAATTATGTAACAGCCTAACGCACACACACACATATATCTTGATGTACTTGTTTATATTTGAAAAAAAATTATTTTTAAAAAATAATCTTCATATATTAGAGAGAAAGATAATATTAAATATTTTGTCTCTTAAATTTTAATTTGAGATGAAAAGGATTGTCTTACCTGACATCGTAACCTGTATAAAGTTAAAAGTACCATTCAATGTCACAAAGGTGATTTAAAGCTTTTAACATTCAATTTTTCTATAAAATTATTCAGTTACAGTGTTATTTCAATAAATAGTTACAAACTTACACCAGTAAAAATACTTTATATTGAGAAAGAAATTTCTTATTTCCGTTGGGTTTTTTTTTTCAGGAAAAAATGTATTTTATTTTACGGCTAAAATTCAAACTACCTTCTACATTGCCAGCTTAATGGACAATTGACAGTTGACATGTTAAGTTATAAAACTCTCTAAGTAATTAACAAAGCATGCAGTTTAAAAAGGAACTACAAAAACACACGTGTCCTATTAAGATTTTATGGAAGTTTAAAAAGCTATAAATTTTTTTTTAACGCTTTAAGGGAAGTCACTCGTAGAGTAGAAGTATATGTTAAATTTAATTCGGTACTTTATTAGAACATAGATAACACGAATATCTTGTTTAATAATATCTTTTAACCCAAATTATAGTTAACAACAACCTTGATAAGACTTCTTTAAAATATTTTCTGTTTACGCGCTAATTATATTTACTTAGAGTAGCATTTAAAGTATTTAGCTTACCTGATAGCCACCAATTATGATGTTGAGGTACTCCATCAGGTAGATTGAGGTCTTCTGTTGAATGTGTGATGTTGTAGAACCCACTATAGTCACTGTTTTGTTTCCACTTCTCCAAACCTTCATCAAACAACTGAATGGACTCGTGTAAATATGAATCTACTCTTTCACACTCCGCCTTAAAAGATGAATCTGCATCTATCAAAAACTGGAGCCCCGACCGGAGAACTAAATACTTTGGGACATAGTCTACATCAAATGCGTTGCCATGATAGTAAATGGTGTTATCTATAGCATCACTACATAATTCCAAGGACCTTTCAAGATGGCTTATTTTGTTAAAATCTGCTTTTGCTTTTCCAATTTTAAATGCTGAGTTGAGGACACAGTGCACAAGATGATGTAAGCTAAGAGAATTAATTTGTCCACTTTGTTTTTGTGACGCTTTCTGTATACTTTCTATTAAGTTCGCTGTACTTTCCCGAAAGCTTTCAAACATGTTCTTGGTGGTCAAGCCATCCCTGTTTTCTAAGCAATCATAAATAGGTTTATATATGTAAAAATGCTATTTAATTAGTCATTACAGATTAATTAAACTGTTTCAGAACAATGGCAGTTAACAAATATAAAAACTAGCGATCACTCGTTAGATTACAATATTCCATAACAGAAGGGGAGATAAGTACTTGGAAGTGATCACCCTAAGAGCATGCTGAGCTGTGGTACACGTCGAATAGTTACTACGAGCTGACCCGCGACGTAACATACGCCGCCTTCTAGTTGTTTTATTTTCTGCTTATCAGTAATGTATCAATAGTAAATTCAACACTACCCCCTCCCGCGCTCCCTCCCCCACCCCACCGCCCAGTGAAAGCAGCCGTTTACAGACAATGAACATATCAATCAAAAATTGTTACCTCCCCTTCATTTCAAATCGTTTAATACTAAATTATCTGCCCCTAGTAGGGTCGCTAACCCGGCTCTACGATTGTAAACATTCGGGTGAACCACAGCTCACCTGACAGGTGGGGATGAGAGTGGTGGCTAAGCTGCGTGGTGTTTTCTATGGTACCCATGAAGAGAATTATATATAAAGATCCCAGAGACGGGTAGAGTAAAATGTTGTACACGATTTGAAACTAACGGGAGGTAAAAAGATCTACGTGATCTGGTTGTCATTGTCTGTAAACTATCGTTACGGACGGCTGATTTCACGGGGGAAAAAGTGTTTGAAAGCAAATATTTTAGTTACAGCATAGGTAGTTGAGAATTTAAAAAAATATGAAGACTAAACACTAGAAAATAAAACAAATAAAAAACTTTTCTAAAAGCAAGCTTTTAAATGCACTGAAAACAAGATAATAAAACTAATTTGCTTTCTATCTTAACAGCTTTGGTAACTAAAATATGTAAAATATCTCATGAGCAACAAAAGCTTTTATGAAAGACACACATTAGTTTTATTTTTTATTTTAGTGCATTTAATAGCTTGCTACTAGAACGGTTTTTCATATTTGTTTTATTTATTATGTAAGTACATCAGATGACTTCCATATCACGCGGAGTTATTTACATAAAAATTAAGATCAAATATATATTTACTCTTTAAAAGTGTAAGCACTCCAGTATTGTCATATCCGTAGCAGATTACTGTGTCTAGGTGAAAAACGAAATATAAAAATAGTAATGACTACATAAATTACCTTGAGTGTTACTCATCCTGAATTACTTGAGCAAGGCGTAGTAATTAATAATTTGCGGAGAACTTTTAACGAAAAAGTAAGTCCACTTTATGAAACTCGTTCTCTATAGTAAAAAATAATTGGACTGCTTACTCAGTCATAAAACATTATATTTATATTTAAACAAATTATTAGTAGAATGAAAAAAAATAAACCATCAATAATTGTTATGATTTAAAATATCTCAGACACAAAATGTATGCGGATACTCACCAACTGGGAAATAAAAATATTCTATTCCACTCAATAAATACGAAACAGTTATATTTAAATTACTGACGTACTTTGTGTTGTGTAGATTTAAACTAACCTGCAAGTACAGCCAAGTTTAGAAAAATAAAACTTTTAGCATCTATGAGTTTCGTGTAATCGATAATAAAATCAATAAACGGGTCTTCAGTCATCCATAAAGAGTAAAGGAGTTCTTAATGTCGCCATAATTATGTGCACTGTGTTTTGAATGACATACAATTTATGTTTATGCAGAATTAGTTTAAGATATTTTACTTACGCTTACATCGAATCAAACGTAAAAGAAAAACACAAGTTTAATTCAGTTTTCTTTGTTTTTCAAAAAGACTCATAGTTTTCCGTTATAGTGTAATTAAGGAACACGGTTGTAACAATATGAATTTCTTGAATCTGTTGTTCATTTGTAATATTAATGTCTAAAATATCAGCCAAGGCATAAAGTTAAAAAAAGAAAATAAGCCTATGCTGTAGTGGATTTAAAATAAAGGTAAAAATTGTATGATTATAAAACGAATCTTCTAAGCTATTGTAATATGATAAAGTTAACAGCCTGAAGAACTTAGCTATATTTCATATACTGACAATTATTATAACTTCAATAATAGTATATTATTAATAAATGGCGCGCTGAGGGAGAGATACAACGGGCGCTATATTGATCGTGGTTTTTTTTCTAAACCCAAACCATAACCTTAATCACCGTCTCAACTTCAAATTTAACCGGAAACGAAAAATGTAATTGAACATCGGTTTCGACCCAGAATCGGAATTTTAACCGGATTTAAGCTTGATCGACATTTACTAAATATAGTCATTTTCATACCCCTAAACCTTGCACCTAAGCTCAAACATGACATAAGTCGCATTAGAAGTTTCTTTCAGGAGACTCTACTTGGGAGGGGGCAGCCCAACCCCCCCCCCCTTACCCTAAAGCACGTCTTCTTTCCCATTCAACGAAATAAACAAATTATAGAAAATTGTTTTTACCATTGTCTTCCCCCTTCCAAAAATTTTAGTCCACCCCACCAGCGCAAATTTCATGTACCCCAGCCACCTCCGTGGGGGAAAAAGTCTGAAAGGAACGCTGGTCGCATTTGTCGCTACTTCTATAAAATAGACCCGTTTTCTACTTTTGGCTTATATATCTCACTCACGCAGACAGTGTTACTTTCAGACCTTTTCCGGGGGTGGGGCACTTGAATATTTTGAACGGGCGAATAAAATTCTCCGGGCGGGGAGAGGACGACACTGGTAAAAGTATGTATTCTCTATACAAATTCTATTTCGTTTTGGGGGGCTGGTGGATTAGACTTCTACCAGTGGGGGGGGGGGGGGGGGCTTCGCTCTTACCAGAAGAGATGCATAAAAGAAGCTCTGCACGCAAACAACTTTAAAGATTAGACAAATACCAGAGTTTTTATTATAGAGTATCGATGACGTCATTACTATTGTATATTTTTTTCGGTATTGGCTTTTGAATTCATAGTTTAGTCGAGAATCAATGACGTCATATTATTGTGTGCACTTTTCCGGGTTTAAACTATTTCTTAATATATGTTCCATGTGACGTCACGATTCGTTTTCCCTATTATTGTGAATGTTTTAACTTTGCTTGTGTTTTCTCTATAGTGAGTTTTCAAACAATTATTTAAAACAGTAAAACATTGAGACTAACTCTTTTTTTAGTGGCATTATCTTCATTATTTATTTTTCTTTAAAACTAGCATATTTATTTTCGGTTTATAATTTCAGCAGACTATGCAAAATGTCTCACAAACTAGGTATCGATACCGCATTTCTATGTTCCTTCGTTTTAAGGAATTAGGTTACCAAATTGAACACAATTTTTTGTCACAGAATTTTAATTATTTCGAATATAATATGTAAAATTAAACTATTAAAAGAGTAGTATCAAAGATAATAAATGAACCTTTTCAAAGTAGCAAAAATTGGGCAAATTGAGGCACGTGCCTGTGCTACGTGCTATTAATAACTGAATTAAGCATACGATAACTCAACAAATTATATATATATATATATATATATATATATATATATATATATATATATATATATATATATATATATATATATATATATATATATATATATATACGTGTGTGTGTATACATACATATAAGTACCGCATCTATGGTGTTGTTTAACAAAAGAAACATCAAGACAAGAATGCAAAACACTTCAATTTTAAATAATAATTAAAATCATTTCTGTCGGCTGTGGGTCGCATCGTCCACCCCCCCCCCCCCCTCCGCCACCGGTGATGCAGGGTTGCGAAGTATGGTAGTTCCGCCCCTAAAATGCATAGGCATATTGCACAATGTTTAATTTTACTACATATTTACGAATATAAGTCAGCCACTTATTACCCCCCCCCCCCAGCAGCACAAATGTTTAAAGATGGTGGTTGTTTTCATGTATTGGCACGTTTTAAAATCGTCCTTTCTCGTTCATTAAATATGTATAATCTTAAAATCGATAGTGTATTGATTTATTGATTTGAAGGTATTCAAGTTTATTTCCTGGCCGTTCTAGAAAAAGCCCTTTAAACCGGGTCGTTGCTAGTAGGGTCAAAATCACCTTTCATAAAAACAGAATTGGCAATAATTGACTTTTTTTTTTTTGCTTTTTACAAGCTTCTATTTAACTTGCTTCCTCTGTTTGTCGTCAGTCGTCATAGATGGAAACGGGCGAGCGAAATTTTGGGCATTTCGAACTGAGAGATTAAAAGTTAGCACATAGTTCAAGACTTAAAGACAATGCAATATGACATTAAATTTGACTTAATTAATAAGATGACGTTATCATGTTCGTTTGGTGCGCAATAATTTTAGTCATGCAACTCTTTTGTGTTAAACAAGTTTAAAGTTCTGAAACAAAATCCATAAAAAAACGTTTTAAAAACAAACTTTGTGTAATAGTGCACTAAAGAGGAGAAAATGAATGATTTTCTTAAAATCTTTTATAATAATAAAAGTATAAACATAAAATGACTTTGTCAACTGGTGGTTGAAATGTGACTGATGAGTGAGCGCATTAGCTGGGTGAAACCGAGCAGCACCCTGGATCACTTTGGCTCGCACAAGAGCACTGCAGCACTCCTCCTACCTGGGACCTCGCCCTTGATGAGTTTTATAAACGTACGCTAAACGCTTCCTACATTGTGCATCTGTTATTGTAAAAAAGATATATTGAAAGGTATACAAATAAAATTTGGTCAGGCTTCTAAAAAAAATAGGTAACAACTGAATATCATCATAACGAGTCTCCGAATTTCTTTAGCAATGAGATCACACCATCTTGTACGACGGATACGCTAGTAGATAACAAAAGCATGATTTTGGTAATAAGCTTTAACTCTGTTCGTTGGGGATAAGATCTGTTTTTTTTCTTAAATGTGAGATTGTTATACTTTACACATTAGCCATTCCCAAAGAGCCCTTTTATTAAAAAAAAATGTCATTAAATCTTCTTCCCGGTATAGCCTACCTTTGGCTACGCTTCTAAATCGACATTATAGAGTGTAGCTCCACAAATCAGATGTGTTGAAATGTTATTTTTAGTGTAGTAAGCTTTTTAATGATGTACTAAACATTATATACTTCATGCAGCGATCGGTGGTGCTTATGCGAAATATCCAAGCTCTATACTGCAGATGTTTATTTTTATATTTTAAAAAGCGTTAACTGAGTACATTGTGTTTCGTGTCACGTTCTTTTGCATTGGTTGCGTCATCGAGGTCAATCAATAACTCAGAGATTTTCCTGAAAAATTGTGTTGTGTGGACACAATGTTTTGGCTTGTTGATTGGCAACCAACACAGCAGTCTTTGAGAGTTGTTTTTTTTTTAATGCATGCATCCTTAAACAACAACTTTAAACTTTTTCCCAACCTAGATCAAAGCCAACACGCAACCCAACACCACGACCCAGACGAAACACATAAAATCTACACACCATTACCCATTTTATTTTATTTAAAAACGAAGTTTTTATCTCAAGGTGATATCACAATAGTGAAGTGAGCAACCAAGTTATTGAACCGTTGCCTGTTTATTACGACATCTTTGCGTCATCAAATAAATTAATAGCTCAGAGATTTTCCTGAAAATTTTTGTATCGAAGACACATTTTGGTCTTGTTTTTTTATCTGTTTATTTGTCCTAAGCATATGAAGGAATAGTGTGACCAGAGACATGTTCGGCCGGAATCTATTTTATAAACGATAAAAACATGCTGTCTGAGACTTGGCAGGACACTGGGGGTCGGCGTGGTCGAGTCGGTAAAGCTCATGGTTGCTAAACCGAAAAGTCTCGGGTTCGAACTCTCGGGCAGATGAGGTTCGTTAGCTGGGGAGAGACAACTCCAAAATCCAACAACTGCTGCCTTGTAGTTTGTTCTTGGTTGGACAAAGGCTATGGAAGCAAATCCAAAAAGAAAAGCAGGCTGAAATCGGAGTCAATGGCCTCAATGGCGCATAACCAGTTGACATGTAATCCTTAATTGTGATGGAAGCATGTTCGAGTCTGCAAAGCTCATGGTTGATAAATTCGAAAAAAGTCTCGAGTTCAAACCCTCTTTCAGATAAGGCTCGATCCCTCCCAACCATAAAAATTAAGAACGAAGTAGAAGAAGACTGGGCAGGTGAAGTAGAGTTGAGTAGGTCACCTGTGACGTCAGTATATGAAGGGATAGTGTGGTCAGAACTA